CAACATTAACAGCCAAATTAACATTTTCAACATTTAAGTTTATTCCAATAAGGTTTAATGGGGTTGAAGCCAAGACTATTAAGCTATTCTGACTGAGAGAACTGTGTATTTATGCACAAGAAAGCAAACTCCAAGATTGCTTCCACTGTTATAGCACATTGTTGTTTAAAAATATATATATATTTCTAGTACTGCACATGTAAATATGTTTGGATCAGTTATGTGATCCACATAGTTAGGTGAAAAAGTTGGTCTGGCTACCCAAAGCCTGAGTAATGGAAGGGACTCTTTCAAGCTGAAGTCTAAATCAAGCTTAAGCTGAACTCATGTCGCAACTAAAAGTTATTCCAAGAAATAATTTATATTGATAACTGAAATCTTAGCAATACTGCACTCAAATAACAGCTTGATTGTATGTTGGAACAGTGGGTTTCATCTGGTGTGCCAGATGAAACAGCACGATTTTCACGTATACAGTAAAGGCTCTACCACCTGGCTGTGGCTGGTAGCAGATCAGCTACTGATCGGAAGGTTGGTGGTTCGATCCTTGGCTTCCCCAGTCTGCATGCCAAATATCCTTGGGCAAGATACTAACCCCAAGTTGCCCTCTGATGCGTTCATCAGAGTATGAATGTGTGTGAATGTAGTTTAGTTTGCACTTGAGTTTAGAAGTGCTTGTATGAATGGGTGAATGAGGCATGTTGTATAGAGCGCTTTGAGTACTCCGGGAGAGTAGAAAAGTGCTATATAAGAATCAGTCCATTTACCATTATATGACTATTATAAAGTAAGTATTCCTCTATGCTTTATGTTTGTAGAGAATGTGTTTGTCTAGCAGATAGTGAACAACAAAAAATGCAAGTAAAGAAAACAGAGAAAATTAAGGTTGTCCTGAGGGTAATGGAAAGAATGAGGATGAGGAGGGAATACAAAGTGAGGATCCAGCACTACTTAGATAAATACACTAAATAAAAATGAAGAAAATGAAGCACTCTTAAGCTTGATACTTTAAACAAAACTCAAAGTAGGTGTGGAATAACTGTGCAGTATGTTGAGAAATCCGAGTTGAAATGTGAGGACATATCATAGATTATTTTATTAAATATGGTATATTAACAATTTATTCATTGTTAGCACTACACAGTTCCTGGTTTGCTTCAAGTTCAAATGAAAAAAAAAATCCAAAGATGTGTGAGAGATATAGATCAAGGAAGGAAGAAAGGCCCAAAGAAGCCTTTTATTTATAGGGCACAGAGTACTGTGCTACGCCTCAGGCATCGATTACAACATCCTTTAGAAATGAAACATTAAAATACAAAGATAACAGTCTTACTTTCTCTGGTAGAGAAATCACTGACACTTTTCTGTGAAACTCACTGAGCAGTGTTTCTGCAGAAACCTCTACAGAAACCCAGATGTGCACCGTGAAAACTGGGCATGTTGCCATCGTTTTAAAGGGCAAATGCATAACGTTAAAAATGACTGGGATTAGAGCGTGAACCTGTGCTTAAAAAATGGTGTAGCAGTAATAATTTAAAAAAAAGAAGAAAAACTTTCACAGTGTTGGAGATTAAGGCAGAAGTTGATCATTCCAAGAAATCACATGCAGGTATGAAGACCCAACACCAAATTTTAACAATGTCCAAAATAGGAGTAGTAGCTTCTGCTTGAAAATAATGATGCAATCTTTATATGCAGTGTGTCTCTTCATTTATTTTATTTTGTTAATTCCAGTTATTTAAAATGGCAAAGTTTCCAAATTAGAGTTACTGTAAGGATTTAGGGCCTGTAATAACTTGCACGTTTTTTTGTTTTGCTTTTTTTTTTTCCAGTGATGACAATCCTTTGGCTCTTATTCAACTGCCAGCACAATTTCCATATGGAAAATAAATAACATACCTGGATTCAATTTATGTTCAATGAGGTGGGATCTGTCTGCAAAAAGAGACTGAAATCTGTGTGTCTAATGTACAGCCTAAGACAGTTTTTTTTAAAAAGAAATAGGTTTTCCCATCTAGCATGTGTCCCTTGATTTCTCATGGAGCATTGTGCTAAATATTTGTAGTATTTTGCTTTGGACTTTGTGGATTAGAACCATTGGGTCAGAGACGTGATAGAAACACAGAGTGCCTGCTTTATAATCCAGGAAGACTCCAATCTTGCAGAGACCAGAGCCGGGCACTTTGGTTTCTACATTATTGTGACAGAATAAAAAGCCATCTGCTGTACAGTCTAAACTCCAGGACTTGTCATTTTTGCCAAACTGTGACTCATCAGATGTCCGGCTGATGTTTTTATAAGCCACTGCTGAGTGCGAGCATGTCCCTCTACCTCCCAGTAACACCAGTCTGCCAAACCCTCTCTGCACAGCACCTGGGGAAATTTAGTGAACCTGTATAGATGAGCTGAAGCGTGACCGCATATCAGGTGGAGATAACGATAGTTTGAGGTCCCATCCAGTGTGAGGGGATGGAAATCTGCTAAAAAAAATGCAGTGAGTATGATCAATATTACCACTGTTTTCAACTATAAATGAGTTCTATATGAAGAATATGAGGGGCAGATGTCAAGAGATTTATTCTAAAGACACTTCTTCAGCTAAGAATCTAAAGGTAGAAACACACAGAAGCTGCAGTTTTTACTTGCAAGGGCGATCACAGAATGCTCACACCAGAGTGGGGGCCCTGTGATGTGCGCTTTATTTCCTGCACTTGCCTTTATTTATATACAAAAGTAATACAACAGTGGATACGTCTATTCATTAACAGAGGAATGTTAGTATGTAGGGAGTGAAGATAAAAGTGGTTCAGGTGTATGTGTGTGTGTGTGTGTTATTCTGAAGGACGTTGCCCCTCTTCTTGAAGATAAGAGCATCCAGCTCCCCTCTTCCTGGCAGCAGTGAAATGATAACAGCTTGCTCAGCTATTATCACTGTGAGAAAGAATTTATAAAGCAAGTCTTGATTCCAACAACAGTCATAAAAGGGTCATCATGCAGTATTCTATAATATGCAAACTTATATCACTAAAAGATTATACTGACTACTAAGTACAATTTTCTATTGACAGCAGATGTTGTCCAAGATAAGGACAAAGTTCACAGGTTAGAGTTAAATGTCAAACATATATATTCCACCTCTCTAATATTCTTGATATTTATAATTTAATAGTTTGTATATATTAGTGCTATTTCTTAAATTTGTAAACTTTGTAATATATTGTGATATTTAATTAGTTGTTCATTTAATTAGTTTAATAGTTTAGTTCCATTACTGTCTTGGAGCATCTGTAACCCACTTAAAATCCTTAGAGATTATTAAAGTTTTCTTATCGTGATTCTGATTTAAAATGTTTCAAGTGAGCTGCTGGGGGCCGGAGGTAATGAGGCTGTGAGGAAACAAACAGTAATAAGGACTTATTTTTAAACATCACTGGTTATGTCCTTTCCTAGGCTTTAATCAGCTGCTTCATCGAGCTGTGTTTTCTTTGCTAAAAGAAGATGAGCTCATTGATGACTTTGTCCCAGTCAGCAAAGTTAATGAAATCTAAGAACAAATGTGCTGGCTCAAATCTGTTCAACTTTTTTTTCTGTTTGTAGTAAAAAACCACAACCTGGCCTGATCTTTCAATCTCAACAGGCCAAAAAAGTGGGACTTTCATTTGGTAATCAAATCAAAGCTGTAAATAATGAGTTTAAATGAACTGAACTTCCATTTTTTCTAACAATGATTTTCATTTCTTTGAAACAGATGGGCATCTATATTGGAGTTTTCCAGTCTTACCCCTAAAAATGCTTTAAGCTACCTCACATCCCTGGAGAGATTAGAATCGCCAGAACATGGAGGCTCAACATGGAAAGGACAGCTGTATTCACCCTTCTCCTCCTCTCCATCCCAGCAATGATTCAATCCAGCTTTTACAATAACTGTGTCC